AATATGTATTTGAAAAATATTTTGTCTGTGAAAGTGAAAATAGTGGGATTTTTAAAGGCAGAATAAGTGAAGAGTGAAAAGGGGGGGGGCACAGATTAAACACTGCCTACTTAATATAAATACGTAAAATAATATCGGCTATGACGAGGGAAAGTTAGGATTACTATTTGGCTTGAGATGTTTTTACAGAAACGGTTTGTTATACTGGTCACTGGCTACAAGGATGATGGTAAATTCTATCCAAAAATTGTTCCACAGTTAAATACATAAATTACTTTGGGTATCGTACACAATATCTTGGTTTGTGAATCGCGACATATGCCTGTGTAGTAAAGTTCCATTCGTCATATGTGCAACCAAATCGTTCCTCATCTAAAGAGAGATTGAACATTTTTTCAGCTTGAGTAATTACAAATGGAAACCTTCTACGTTGCTACATCTCTTTATATCCTCTTAAAGTATTTTATACATATAAATATACATAGATGCTGGTGTGTACATACTGTATTATTAACGGTTTGTTGCTTTGTAAATCAATGCCAGTGTGGGTGGAATGTACAGAATGTAAAGACGTCCATTTTAATAAACAAGACTATGCCTACATGAATGGAGCACACTGGTTTGGGATATACTTCATTCTAATAGAAACGCTGAAGAGCCAACTATCCGGGCCTCTTCCATAAGTTTTCACGTGTTTATGAGTCCAAAAATGTCTGAATATTTTATGTGACTACATGACAACAGTGTTTTGCTGTATTTTCATCCATGATCACACATTTCTCTCAGTTCTTTTGACATTGTCTTCTCTCAAACAAATACAACACTGAGAGCCATACTTTGCAATGAAAGAACGCAATTTCAAATGCCCAAAGGTCATGACTGCAGAATGATGCAAACAGTTTTTTCAAGCTTGCTGCTTACTGTTGTCATGGTTACAGATGAGGGCAGTAGTCATGTTTCTTCATATTTGCACACTAGCATGTGATTTGTCCTCCAGTTCACTGCTCTAAAACGCAGAACCTTGTCCGAGATATTTGCCAGGTAATATAATGGAGGACAAAAAAAGTTTTTAATTTTGTGCCGATATTTGAAATTGAGTTTCGTGCTTCTGCAGGCAGTGTAGTGACATGTAGCTGTCATGTAGCTGTAATTTTCTCTCAAAGATGAGTGTTTTTAAATGTGTAGGTAATATATTTTTCGATTTAAAAAAAATAAGCAAAACTAGCTCTGAAAATACTGAACGTGAAGAGAACACTGTGCGGCTATTTATATAATGTGATAACCGCACATAATGCAATCAAATATCGTTTCAAAAGACTGACAGTCTGATACAACTAAAAGTATAAAAAGCCCAATGTTACATTTATAACATTTGTGCTGCATAACTGTAACAGTGGTATGTACTAAAGATAACAGTAAATGTTTTTCTATAATATAAATAATTTGTATTTATATTTTACATTTTGTATTACATTGTATTATTTACACAATTATATAGTAGTCACCATTGTGCACTATGCAAATTTCTGAGGTGAGATATATGTAGTAACTGCCCCAGCCAACATAGTAATAAGATTAAATTAAATAAAAAAAATTAAAAACATAAATCTAAAACCATCTGAATTAATAATTTCAACAACATAATTTGATAAAGTGAATTACTTTCAAAAACAGATTATTGTCGCCCTCTTGTGGTATTTAAAAGCATTACAATCTAACCAATGTCACCATATTCTGGCACCTGGGTTCATTAATGAAACAAACTAAAAATATTCACATATGAAAAACAAAAATTTTATTGAAAGATGTTTATATTAACCTTTTCAATACAGCTTTATTATACACAACAGTTAAATCTCAGAAAAAAAAAGATCTCAGCTCACATGTCCAATGCCATCAACCAATAGGGTCTGCATTTTGTGAATTTTAACTGATGCAAGATGGCGTGATGCAGTAGGGATGGTTTAATGGGTATGGTTGTCTGCGGAATATTCCAATAATCCAGTGAGAGAGAGACGTTGTGTACTCTCTCAGGGTTCCTGTGCTGTATTGATCCTTTCCTGTTCAGCGCTTTTTCCAAGTGAACTTCTTCCGCGCTCCCTCCTGTCCTGGTTTCTTCCTCTCCCTGATCCTGGGGTCAGCGGTCAGCAGGCCAGCTTGTTTGGGTAATCAGAGAAAACAGATGATGACAGATGAACAGCATCTGTGACATGCTGTTCTACCACAGAAAAGCCAAATAAATTAAAAAAGAATCAAACATCACAATATTGGATCTGTGCATTGAAGTGCAGTCTAATATGCCTGCCAATGTTGTTAAACTCACATATTACCAAGAAAAATAGGGGCAAATAAACACTCACTATTGGTGGTAAATAAAGAAAAAAGTAACATTCATTTGAAGGAGCAATTTGGGTAAACTGGTGTAAACCCAAATCATTAATTTTTTTGAATGAACAAACAATTCCAAAATTAATTACTAATTACTAAAATTACTATTAATTACTGAAATAATAACATGCGTTCTGTCCAATATCTGCCAATTTTTACACTTTATCTGACTGGATCAACATGTTTTTTTCTTCTTATGAGGTCGCAGCCACTGCAGTGGGATAGTGAATTTCATTTTATAGTGTTCAAAATTATTTTCTGTGGTATTCAACATTAAGTACACATTAACCCGGAATATTCATAAAATAATAACAATACATTATTCATGTCAATATCTAAAGTGCAAATTTTACACAATTAATGGTTCCCTTTCGAGAGGGTCTCTCGACGTTGCAGACAGCGTAAGCTGACGCTTTGGGGAAGCACCTTTCTCCTCAAATACTGAAGCTTGAGCATGCAAAAAGGGTGCAGGAATGCACCCAATATAAACGGCGCTGAGCAGCATTTCATCAGAATCTTTCTCCATTATAAATGCTTAAAGGGTTAATTCACCCAAAAATGAAAATTAGCCCATGAATTACTCACCCTCAAGTCATCCTAGGTGTATATGACTTTCTTCTTTCAGACGAATCCAGTCGGAGTTATATTAAAAATTGACTTTGATCTTCCAAGCCGTTTAATGCCACTCAGCAAGTGTTGCAGTGCATCAGTCCAAAAGAAGTGAAATTAAAGCGCATCCATCCATAATAAAAAGTGCCTCACACGGATCCGGGGGGTGAACAAAGGCATCCTGTAGCGAATCGATGTGGTTTTGGAAGAAAAATATGAATATTCAAAATGTAATAATCACTTTAATGTAGCTTACGCCAACAGTTGTACACGGAAGCAGATCCGGGCGGATGACGTATGAGGTCGGCTTTGCGCATGCGCCGCTCAGAAGTGACAAACGCGGAAGCGCAGGTGAGAGATCAAAACAAAACAACGGTCACTTAATAGAAGTACAAAACGAGGATTTGTAAAGAAGAATGTCAGAGGATTTCGATATAAGCCAAGAGGAGACTGGCTTTCCTTTGCTAAAGTAAGGAAACTTTGCTTCCTTTGCTTCTGTAAACAAATGTTGGTTTTCACGAGACTCACCGGCGCATGCGCAACGCTGACCTCATATGTCATGCTCCTTTTTTTTTTTAATACACACGCTTGCTTGTACGAACTTTCATGCAAATTTGTCTTTTGCGTAAACCAATATTTATCCAATATCTCTAGCAAATACAGTTTCTGGTTTCATGGCTTTATTTTTAATGAAATAAAAATACTGAATCAAAATACTATATTGATGCTAAAATAGCACTGCAGCTGTGATTGGTTCATTCAGGCAAACACTGAGAAAATTAACAAGTGTTATGACAGACAAAATTAAAGAGACATCAATAAAATCCTCTTGAGCTTTTCACTGAAGATTTAATTTAGACACCTCATAACTGGCCAATGGTTCATTTTGAAGAAGTGTCCGTTGGATCAGGCGTTAGTCTCAGTCAGTGTACGGCTGAAGTGGCTAATTTCTCACTGCAGTGGTGGACTCGTTTACTCGCTGAACTCTAGTATCCATCCTTCACCAGCGCAAACTCGTTCTACGTGCGCTTGAACCTTGAACCTTGGCAAGCCTGCAACCATAGATATATTTATAGGTAGATGCCTCATTCAACAGCTCAAAGCATGGAGACGCGTCTACCATCTTGCAATGGTCAATTTGACATCATATCATTCACCATAATCAATGAATATTCGAAGATATTCGCCGTGTTTCGGCGAATATCTAAAAGAAGAATGTCGGAGGATTTCGATATAAGCCAAGAGGAGACTGGTTTTCCTTTGCTAAAGTAAGGAAACTTTGCTTCCTTTGCTCCCGTTAACAAAAGTTGGTTTTCATGAGACTCACCAGCGCATGCGCAACGCTGAACTCATACATCATCAGCCCGGACCTGCTTTCATGTACAACTGTTGGTGCAAGCTACATTAAAGTGATTATAACGTTTTGAATATGGATATTTTTCTTACAAAAACTCATCGATTCGCTACAGGAGGCCTTTGTTCACCCCCCGGAGCCGTGTGAGACAATTTTTTTATGGATGGGCGCTTTTTATTTAACTTCTTTTGGACTGATGCATGCAACACCCGCTGAGTGGCATTAAACAGCTTGAAAGATCAAAGACAATTTTTTATATAACTCCGACTGGATTCGTCTGAAAGAAGAAAGTCATATACACCTAGGATGACTTGAGGGTGAGTAATTTATGGGCTAATTTTCATTTTTGGGTGAACTAACTCTTTAAGCGAGTGGATGATATGCACAATTTCTCTGTCAACGAGTCCTCTACGGATTTCAACCTATGACTGAAAGTTGTACTTAAACCGAGAAAGGGTTATGTATCCAAGGTGCTCTCAATGCCATTCAGAGCCCAGGTGATATTTCTCTTAGCTTTTTTTCTCTCAGCCCCCTCCCGCAGCCTCCCTGCTCTGTGCCCGACTGGTGTGCATGCCCACTATACGAGAGGCATGCCTCGTCATGGGCATGGTCCAATGGGACATCTATTGAGTATATATGTTCAGCGGCTGGATGGGCTTCGCAGAACAAAACTGCCAGGTTCCTTAAAGGCTTCCCCGGTCCTTTTGGATCAAGACTACTCGCTCAAGGAAGGCCAGTTTTACTTCTTTAGTTAAGTCGCTGCTATATGATTCATGTCACTGCTTTTGCACTGAGCCTCCCTTTTTCTGGGCTGTGGGGTCCGCTAGGGTCTGACGTCATGAAGATGACGGCACCGACACAGCCGCCGCTTCCTCTATTGCGGCAGCCAGATTGTTCCCACACTGCGTGTCGGTTCCTACTATGTACCGATCTTCGGCAGTGCCCCTGTATGACTTGTATTGCTGCTATTATCCTGTGGGTTACAGTCATTATGCTTGAAACGGCAGTTTCCCCCAAACCTTAAATTTGGGCTATTGCTAGTGTTGGCTATGATACATTCTAGTACCCCGCTGTTCTGTTTTCAAATAGCGCCGGGTTCGTCGCTTGTTGATGTAGTTGTTATGATGTCTATATGGCTAGCTTCCGATATTAATGAATGCTGAATTATCGCTTCTATGTTAAGCGCAGAGTAAACCGGAGTTTCCTAATTGGGTTTCAGCGGCCACTAGCCCCTGAACAATGCGATTTTACTGCACTTGTCCCGTTCTTCTAACTGGCTGCAGTATTATGAGGGGTCATCGGAAAGAGTACACCAAGCGCTGGGTCACCTTTTGTTGTTGCAATTGCTGTGATATTGTCTATGACAGCCGTTTTGTGATAGTTTTATAGTGCTGCGTCTCACCACTTTATATCTTACCGTTGTGCGCATGCACATACAGCAGTGCAGTAGACCCGCCCTCCCTCTCAGAGCTGCGGGTTTCCACTAGGTCCGCTAGTTTAAAATAAAAAAAAAACACCACTTCTGTAGTTGGTGACACCGGCGCTGCTGCTGCCGCCTGGTCAACTTTCACACAGTTCTCCAGGTAAATGTGGTGTCTATTCCCGGTCAGCTCCACAACTGCATGTCTATCTCCGGTGAGAAGCTGTTGTCTGGAATGTGCTGCTTATGCGTACTGGTGTGGCTGTACCATGCATTGCGATTGCTGTTGAGTGTCGTTGTGCTTATATGTCATCTCTGCTTATGCTGAGCACCCTTCGCAGTAACACGGCGTGAAGGTACACATTCCCCAAAGCGTCAGCTTATGCTGTCTGCAACGTCGAGAGAACCTCTCGAAAAGGAACGTCTCCGGCTACTGAAGTAACCTCGGTTCCCTGAGAAGGGAACGAAATGTTGCGTTATGCTGTGTTACTTACGCCCAGGTATTTCATAAGCTCTCTTATTTAGTCGAAAGATTCTGATGAAATGCCGCTCATATAGGGTGCTTTTCCACCCCCTTTTCGCACATTCGTGCGCCATTGAGATGCAATGTTGTTAAACGAATAAGGCTTCAGTATTTGAGGAGAAAGGTGTTCCCCAAAGCATCAGCTTACGTTGCCCGCAACGTCTCGTTCCCTTCTCAGGGAAACAAGGTTTCATCAGTAACCAGAGATTTTTTCTGTCTAGCTGCTTATCTAGCTGAGTAACAACAGTCTTGAAATTGTGAGAATAGCTGATCTGGAGCATCAGAGCCATCAGAAAAAAGGGCTGAGAAAAATGTGTGCTGAAGGGTCAGAAAGATATTTTTCAGAAAAGTCCCAGTATATATTGTATGTCACTGTAATCATCTTTACCTCCATTACAATCATCATCCATCTAAACTTTGCTGGTGAAATACTGGTTTGCTTTATTCAGCCCATACAGACTAGTTCTGGCTTCACATTTCTTATTAATGTTCCCACCAATCGCTGCACAAATTAAGGTAACGTATGATGACAAAAGCATGTTAGTGCTAGCCCTCCCAGAACTAATAGAGATTGCATTGCAAGTAGGGCTGTCAAAAAAAAATTAGAATTTCGAATATTCGTCGAATTTAAAATAAAAATCCACATTCTAATGCAAAAACGTTGCATTCGAATTTTAGGTGTGCGTTAAGGAGGCAGCCTTATCAGTGGCGCACGAGATGCGATAACGATGTAAGTGTCATTGCATTTGAATGTTTTTGTTAGCCTATCCAGTTGAAGCCACTAGATGCGGCGCTGCTGTGTTGTTGATTACAAATATTGCGGGGAAAGAGAACATCAATGCAGAGAAGATCTTGTTTATGTCAAAACTGAAACCAAGCCGTTCACACAGAACGCATATTTCGCACATTTTCTAGAGGGACATCTATCACCGTTGCACTCGCGTCTCGCACAAGAAAACCGCATGTTTAGAAAGCCATGTAAAATTAATGCAAGTTCAACTTTGAAAAAA